ACGACGCAAGTGTATGCATATAACCACATGGTTGTGAAATCGCGGTGACGTTAAGTTTACAAAAGTTGCAAATCTTGAGTTTGACCTTGGTTGCGACATTAGACCAACATAAAACCCCAAATAACGATCAATGCTGGATGTTTTCTTTGGGAAATTTCATATTTTATGATTTCATATTATTTAGCTGCTCAAAAGAAAGCTCAACAAGCGGTTCAAATTTGGGTCGTAGCCTGTAATCGACAGAATAAATTCCTTGCTGGTGATTCACACATCGATTACAATTTTCAGATATGTAAACTTCGCTGTATGCTCTCAGGCCAACACTGATCATCTCTGTGAGGGAAATCTACTGTCGTATTTCCTCAGCATACAATCAAACCCAAGCAGACAGCCTTTCTGATCGTTGTTGAAAGCATCACTGAAGAGTACGTCTTATAGAACACCTGCATATTAAAGTTGCTGTTTATGACACAAACGATGAACACGGATTTATACCTCCGGTACTTCACCAGTATTCCCTTACAGCCAACCCTATCTCAATAAAACAAACTATTCTGAGTTCATAAAGGTTCGCGCACAGGCTCTTTTGGTACCCGATATGGTTTGCGCGAACTTTACGTGCAATATTCATTTGCTGCTAAGTCCGCACTGCCGCTTTGCTGAGAAGTTCTCGGTGGTAATGTTGTAGTCCCGGTCGAAAGTTAACTACATTGTCTGTTTGATCCCGGATTTGTATTCAAATTGTTTTCATTCCCATTGAAAATGTCCACTTCCGTTACTACGTTCTGAGAATTCTAGATAACGTGGCCCACAATACACATATCTGAGTCCCGTTAAAATTGACTCTTTGGTTGTTCCGGTATCAATAAAAAAGCTGGTGATATTCCGAACAGCGAGAAAGATGTGGCTGTGTAGTTCAGGCAATTCAGTTACAGGTATCTGTGATCGATTTCGACTCTCAGTTGTTAGTTCGCGACCTTTTTTTAATTACACACCTAAGTGCGATGCACAGCAGACGGGGCGAACCCCATAGTCACGAAGACCTGCTGTTTTAGTGGTGGACGCCGGCAACCTAAATCCCGGAACTTGGAGTGGCGAACCACATAAGGCCCCGATAGGTTAGGCGTGGTATTGAACCGGACGACTGCAGAGCTGCCTACCATAAAAGTTGGGTGGCGGTGTCGGGGCTTGAACCTCGGACCATAGGGTCCAAAGTACGCCGGTGACAGCGACTAAACCACTGCGCCACCACCTACGGTGTTCCCGTGAAGTTTTTGATAACCCTTTCGGAGGAGAGATATGAACTATAATGTTCACCTCTAGCAGTCAACTTCGAAGTGAATCACAGTGGAAAAAGTTATTGAACTTGATTACGCAGAGATGGTGAAAACCCGCAACCATTATCCCCAGCACTATTATTATTGCTATCTTGAGAAACGGTAAATATTGATCGGTTGGGTGAATTGAGCAACCGACAGCTGACCTACAGATCAACAGAATAAGGACTCATCTTTGAAGCCCCGTTTCTGTTTTGATCAACCTACAATCTGATCGGAATTAACCAACATTCTGCATTGAACTTTAAAGGCACTAGGGATCGATTATTCCTGCTTTAATCCGATTCGCCGCTTTAGAGTAACTCTGTAGACCGAGTTTTACTTTGCTACGACGCTTATGCAAACCACAATTTTTAAGAAAAATTTCACGTAAGAACCACACCGATGGTATTTCTGTCTAGTTATGGAAAGTGAAACTGAGTATGTGATAAATTTGGCATTAGCTTCAGACTATTCAGGTTCGGCAGCATTCTTTGCACTATTTCCACAACGGGTCAACGCCGACGTTTAAAACTATTCCATTAGTTGACATAGTAAGCGGACCGTATTGCAAAACGCTGATGTCACCTCGCCCGATAATGAAATATTTTCAAGCGCAACGACTAGGAGCCAGGAGAATTATTCGCTTAGAACCAGTAGCATATATATTGTCCGTTCTCCAGATCACGGTTAGGCTTCTGTGGCAGCGTTGCTCCATGTCTGCTAGCGAAACTAACTCCAACAGCATGGCGAACAAGATCGTTTTCAATTATTCGTAATCATGCCATTACATAGCATTAGATATCACTAACAACAAGAACAAGCAAGGAATGAGAGATTAGTCCTAATAGTTCAGCTCTGGCTCCAATCATTAGAACTCGAATTTCTCATTCCGTTTTTTTTCTTGTTGTCGGTCATATAGTATTATGTAATTGAGAACGAGCTTGTTCGCCAAATCGTTGTTGTTCACAATGTGTTCTATGGGACTAATGAAATGTTTGAAACTAACTCCCTTCAAAGTTTTATTACAGGAAATACTTACAAGCGATTGCTTGTAGGGTTTAACATAAATGGATCGATCTCTGGCTCATTGGAATAAAAGGCACGTCACGAATACTACCCGTTTCGTGCAACCGCTACGGGTGTCGAAATTTAAGACTTGTCAATGTTTCCTCCAGTTTGTGTTTGAAAGCATCAATTTTGGGAGCAGAAACTTGAGGTGGTATAGAATTCCAAATACTGCACTCTGAGGGTAAATGAGTGAATCATTCTAGTTGACATTTTTGGAAAACTAATTTGAATGAGTGTTGGGCGACAAGGCGAACAGTGAACGATATGGGTGATCAGGGTTCTGCATTATTTGATACACTGAAATCAAATGCCCTCTCATCCGGCAATACTGTGTGGAGTACAACCCGAAATGAAGCACTTTCTCAAACTGATTGGAATACCTCTCTCATTTACTGATATCTGTATGCAGGTTTCTGGATTGGCCTCGCTCGATTTTGGACAGGCACTGAGGATGGATCTTAATACCTAAGAGTCCATTTGCACAATAGAATGGACCACTAGTAACACACGACGCTCCGGACTGATCACCGCACATCCGAGCGGTGGGGGTTTACAATTCACAACCCGAAGGAAGGTTTGTGTTTGAAGTTCCGGCAGGGACTCAAAGATAGTACGCAGTCCCTTCAAGGACAAAGCGGCTTGCTATAGCTTTTTTTGTCATTGCAAATGAAATGACTAATTTTGAAACACCTAACCACCGGTTATTCAAAAATAAATGGTCCTAAATCCCACCTTGTTTTGCTAACAAGAATCGATCCAAACTATTAAACCCAAACCACTTCTACTGTTTTATCTTAAGCAAATTTGATTCGAGGGGGTTTGAGATGAAATCATAGAAAAAGCCTGGAGATAATTTGTGTTCCTAAATACCCGTATCCTTTAACTAATCAGGTCTGAGGTGAGATTTGGCTCATAACTTTCAACAAAATTAGGAATGTAATCAACTCTTTATTAAGCAGTTAGTTCTGGAGAGCTTTTCATCTTATACCTTAAAAAACAGTGAACGACTAATTTGTCCCAGTTGAAAGCATTTAAGACAGTACGCTGATCACACAGGTAAGATGTGTGTTCCACTAGAGAGATCCACAAGTTGGAATTTCTCATTCAGTTCATGCTTCACTGTGAAATTTGAACAACCAACTCAACAGATTTCTGCAGAACGATTCGTATCGTTCGTAAGAGGAAAAAGGATGGAGTCGTGAAGGATTTATTTCCACGCTTCATTTGTCCTTTACACGACGATTATATATTATATTTTCACATACGTCTGAATCCAGATTGTTCCAAACAAATCATGGTACAATAATCTTCATAAAATGAAAACGTTCTATGATTTGCATGTGGGCGTAATACTGCCAGGTTGCCCAGGCTAAGGCAGGTGAATTCTCTTGAGAAATCCACAACCGGAGCTTTGGCTAGCCAAAGCCTGACCCGCAATCCATTGGAAGCGGGTGTCCATTTCATCGGATCATACGACTTTCGGACGGGATCAAACGTACAAGGTACCCAATAAACCTCGATACCCAATCGAGCCGGTGACCATGGCCAAAACCAGGAAGTTGTGTGCGTGGTTCTTACGCCTTCTCTTGGTTTGGAATCAGGGTTTTTGGCCAACTCCCGTAGGTGAACTACCAGTGGTCCACCAACCCGGTTATAGCCCCGGCTTTTCGTCCTCTCATTTTGGTGAGAAAACACCTCCGCCACAAGGTAGTGAGTAGGGCTTCCTCAGTAGAGGCTATTTGAAACGCTTGGTCGTATGGGAGAATTTCACGAGGTGCAAGGGGAGGGCGACCAGCCGCAACCCTAGACACCCATCCTCGACCATACTGAGGCTTTACACGACGAAACTCACGATATAATTGTTTATTACATTTTATTTGACATTTTAACCACCATTACTATATCATACATAATGAGGCAGTCAATTTTAAGAATAAGGGAGGGATCAATCAGAGACCATCTGGACAAAAACAGAGATCAGTAAGAGTAGTCACCGTGGTGGGATAAGGACACACGACCTCCAGATCGCAATTATCATGACTTTGTCACCATGTTGTGCATATTTCATTCAAGAGAAAGTCATAAACATGGACGTAGGTATATGCGAGTCGGCTCTGTGCTCGTTGACGATGGTGGCCCGGTGGTAACGTCACCAAATTATCACCCCGGGGATGTGTTCGACCTCCACCACCACCGCTTGATCTCCCCCACTGTGTTGCATGGCAGCCCTTTGATTGGCCGCTTCCCCCTTCCTGAAAACTGTATCTTTGTTCATTCAATAAAAAGGAAGTAAAATGAAAATAAAAAAGAATCCTAATGAGGACGCAGTTGCATCCACGGCTTTCGGATGCCCGCGAATCACTTCATGAACATTGGTCATTTGCTAGACATTAAATGTTCTTGTGTGATCTATGCTAATTCAAAACTCACGGTGGATAGGTGACTGTACTTTTATTTACTTACGTGGTAGTTAAATAAAGACCACCGGAAATATGCACTTCCAACAGTGAACAACAATGGCAGTGCTGCAATATGGAAATGTGTCCGGAAAGCCAACAGAATATCCTAGGTAGCTGATACATACGAAATATGATACTGTTGACTGTACGCATACTACACACCAATGACAAGACAGTTGTGCAGTACAGCGGAAACCACATCAGAAGCAAAGCATTTTATACTAGCACAAGTCTCCACAATTCTGTTCACCAGATGTGTCAGGCAGTTGAACCCATCTCGATCCGAATTACGGGATACGTGGCAAGAATCGAACTCGGAGTTGTTATGTCGAACAGGTATTACTTTAGGAATGGGAAATTAAGATAATCGTAAATGCCAACATGGAGTCAAGAATCCGGGTTTGGGGTCGAATAGCAGTACCAAAAGATGGAAAGCGAGAGAAATGTTTGCAAGAACCAGAGCACTTATTTACACCGAATGATTAGAGTTCTTGATGTAGAATGGTGTAAGGGGTGATTACGCGGTGACTTGATTGTTTTCCCGTCCGATCAAGCCTAAAATGGAAAGAAGAGGGAACAGTAAATGATTGAAACTAACACAAGTTCATAATCAGCATCGCTAGCTCGGTATTCAGTTGCTCGCCGAGCTTGGTAATTAGATTGCAAACGTTTCATCACCAGTCCAGGTGACATTCTCAATACGGTTGTTTAGTTTGGGAAAGGTACCTAGGTCGAGTGTTTGCAGAGTAAATGACAAGTTCGATGAGCAGCTGAACATCACAATAGAGGGAATTGCAATCGTATACAAATGTAAATAAGCCATAAAGTAGATAAATCAATTCATTCCCCCTGAATGTTCTTTTTCGTTTCAACAATATTTTTTACTATTTATACTGACACATTTGCTTATATAACATACGGCAAATACTATTCGATACTTAGCTGAAAAAACGCAATGCAGATGTTGGATATACCAAAGCTTTATTGAATTTGATCATGTGACTAGTGGGGGGTTTTGAAACAAAAGAATTTTATTTGCTGAACAGACAATTGTGCAACCAATTTGCAGATTGGAGCTGCGGCTTTGCGGACACAAAATGTGAAGTTGATTAGTGATCGTGATGTGTGAAGTTTGATTTGATGATGATGACGTCTGATCAGTGCCGTTCTAAAATCGCCGCATATACGAGTGGTAATGGATGATCTGATTTCGTGATTGAAGGAAGTTAGCGTCGTACAGAACAAGAAAAGTCCGGACTGGGAAAGCAGGAACACTGCACAAAAACACAAATGTGCACACACACACTGACAAGTGCGATTAGCAGTAACAAGAATGAATTTCAGTTAGATGAACTCGTTATTCGATCATAAGAATAGATAACCCACACCATGGGACGTGAAATAACAAACCGTATAATATTCCCCTGGAGTGAGCAAGGTATTAGGGTAATCAAAAAGACCACGTTTCTCCCAGGATGGGCGAATCACAACTCTCAACTCAAACAAATGTTTCAAAGCACCTGCTAGGTAAGTCTTATACAACACTTTCCCGAGATGAAGGGTAATATAGGCGAGTTGTTGAACTTCAGGCAGATAGCTTAGTTTAAGGTGCTGGAACCGCCTATTTTCAAGCGACAGAACGAGAACCAAAGACTTTGGAGATTCTGATCTCCATTTTGCCTGTTTGCCGAGCTTAGCAATTTGTTTGTAAACGTTACATCACCAGCCGAGGTGACATCATCACTGCTTGTGATCTAGGACCATTGCTTCGATCAGGTGATGAGAAGTACTTGGCACTCTCAACGTGTTAACCACACCTCATTGACATGAGATACGAATAACAGGTAACCAAATCCTCTTGAACTGTGTTCTTCATACAACGCGTTAGGGCCCTGTGGGTCAGGATTGGGTTGATGAAATTCGCCAGTTGTGAGTCTCCAAGAAAATTACCTGGTTTGTTAAGGACAACCTTGCAGTATTCCGTCAGCAAACAAATCACGGAATGATTTCTCTGCTGCAAAGATACTCCCTGCCAAAGCTTATTTGACGCACAGCATGAACTCAGACA